TGTTCGTTTTCAGCTTCAGATTTTTCGGTTGAATTCCGTCTAGATTCTTCTATTAAGTTTTTCTCTCAGCCTGTTCAGTTTCTATTAAATTTGTTCGCGCCACCTTTTAGGAAATTTGATTCTGTACAACTTTTGTTCTTTGAGTTTTGGTCAATTCGAATTATTTAAGCATGAAACGGTACATTTTTATATTTCTTCAACAAGTTACTTATGATAAAATTATACTAACTTTATTTTTTTACAGGATAGTGGGTCTTACTAACTTTTTTATGCAAGGCTAACCCACCATATTTTTGTTTCTATTTTGTTTATTTCATAATCAATTTGTATTTCGTTGTGTACGGGCAAGAAACTAAATGTCACCGTATCTCGGGAAACTAGTCATTCGTCTCGGTGCAGTTGGAACTACTTGTCTTGTCTCGTAACAAGAATTAAATGTATTTTTGTTTGTCTGGTGGACACATGGGTGTTAAATCTTGTACTCATACCAGTATACCTATGTACTGACCCATTTTGTCTTTTGGCAACTCGGGTGCGTTCTGTTTGAGTGCAACCGATTTTCCTTTGCAGGATTAGTTGGGGCTAAGGTGGTGACGTGGAATTACTATAGTGTTGGACTTGTCGTTTGGATTTCTTTTATTTTATTGAGCTTAGGGTTGATATTAGTTTATGTATTTATTTATTTTTTTTATGACTTTAGTATTGGGATAATTTGGCATGGTTTGTAACCGTACATTATTTAAGTTATTTTGAATATGTATTGTTACTTTAATATTGGAGGTATTGGTTAGTTATGAAATTATGGTGGATGGTTTGGTTAGCGTTTAGTTTTTTTTGTTTCATCTCTGAGATTTGGATGATAGAATATTAATTGAAGTTTAGTCCTAATTTAATATTAATTGTCCAATTTTGGGGCGTGACAATATATAAAAAAATTGTCACAAAAAAAATTATTTTTAGCGACAATTTTAAGTGGACTTATTTTCAATAGGACTTGATGGAAATTAAGTCCAACTATTAGGACGTATTGGTAGTTTACCCAAAAAAAAAAAAAGAATGTGAGATTCTTCAAACCATTTCAAAAGGAGTACAAATATTCCTTAGTAAGTTTTGAACAAATGTATAATTCCAAACTGTGAGTGTTACGTTTGAAAAAAGTACACTAAAGAGTTTTTTTAATATTTTTGTGTGTTACATTGGAGTATGTTACATTAGAGTGTTACGTTTGTGTCACGCCCCAAAAAAATAATGCAATAAATCCAACTCATAAGCAGAAGAATAATGAAATAAAATATTTTCATTCATCAGAGTTCGTTTACAAAAGTTAACACATGCATTATACATTCACAAATATTCATCCTGAATCTACAACATGTGTTGTAATGTACAGGGAATTAAAACTAAAAATATAGTCATGTGCCCTATAGGCTTACATCTTTCCAAGTCATTACGTGGTTACACAAAAGTGAGCTCAGCTCAATACAACTTATGCCCTTGGTTATACAAAAAGATAAAACAAAATAAAGAAACTCTTGCTTCCCAACAGTCCCTCCAAGCTGTTGTTTTGACGGAGGTATATCACCAGTACCTGAAAATGTTTTTCCCAAATAGGGTAAGCCAAAACCCAGTAGAAATAATCTAACACAGTATATGAGATTTAGCAAAGATATAAGTATAATGTGCATATACAACACCGATGATAAAACAATCGCATTTTATATAATCATAAAGTCTCAAGGTTCATAATCAATCCATTTTCCTTTGATTCATTTCAAGTTAATTTATTATTCTCAATTCATGAGCAAAATTCAGTATCTTCCAACAACCCAACTAAGACTACAACTCAATGACCATCAAATCAACATGTTTATCACACAAACACTTCAATTTGTCATTTTACGAAAATTTCGTCCTCAGGATCGGCACTCATGTATACACAAGATTTCAGGACTTTCACTCTGGACACTCCGGTCAACTTAATTTCAATGGAGTCCATCCTCTATCTCCTCCCAAACAATGGAGTACATCTCATTTCTCCTCCCAAATAATCATGCATATGCAATGTATTTAAAACATAGTCATATTCAATGACAATCAACAAGAGATTAGTTTCAATTCACCTAATCCTCATGCAATTTCTACAACACTCATAACTATCCTCCACTGATAGTCCAATACAGATATTTCTAAGCAGATATACAATCTTTTAATAGATAAATTATTCAAATTTCCATAAGTGAGAGGCAACATGTGTCCAACTCTACCGTTCACATCAACAATCATCCAATTTCACATTACCAATGCCAATTTCAGTTATTTATACAAAATAACAATTTGATCTATTTAGGTCTAAACTCTCCCATTTTCCAAATATCCACCCACGTACCAAAATTAACAATTTTGACGCGATATAACCTCATATTCAAACCCCATAATCATTTATTTCACATTCACTAAAAATTCCTCTTTTTATTTCACACCCAAACCTTAGGTTTGCTCAAACCACTCCCAAATCCCACCATTTTTACACAATGACAAATAACTAAGTTAAAAACCATATGAAAGTGTAGAAAATCCATACCTCAAAGAGAGAAGACGAGCCAAGCAAGAGTGAAACTTCAAAGATGTCGAAATCCAACTCTATACAGATCAAAATGGAAATCTTGAGATGGTCTACCTTTTTAACAAAGGGATTACGGTGAGAAATCACTAAAACTAGGTGAAAATGTAGAGAGAGAGAGAGAGAGAGAGAGAGAGAGAGTTTTAAAGAGAGATGGTCCTAGCTTTAGGTCTTAGAGAGAAAAGATCTGAAAAAGTAATATAAAAAGTCATTTTCGCGATCTGATATACGCACAGTCCGCTCGAGCGGAAGAATTGACGCTCGAATGTCAGATACAATAAGTTGTTCCGTTCAAGCGCAAGAAAGGCCGCTCGAGCGCGAAGACACAATCAACAAGACTCTCACCGCTCGAGCGTTCGAGCGCAAGAAGTGACGCTCGAGCGTGGACAACACATATCTAGTAGTTTTGTAGACCTGTAAAAATATTGAGTGTTTGCAAAGCCCGCTCGAGCGTAAGAAGTGCCGCTCGAACGAAGGACCAAAATTCTGGGCAACACAAGGTTTGAGAAACAAGCGACCAACCTACCTAAACACAACCACAACAACCCAAAGGCCAATTTCAAAGAGATACAAGGGAAGAAATGGATAAACAACAATATGAAAAGCATTAAACCCGAGTCCGAAATACCACAAGAGTCAGGTTAAAACCGAAATCGCTATAGTTTGGGATTACATTGATTGAAGTGTTACATTTGGGAAAAATACACTAAGGATTTTTATTTTATTTTTACATTGGAGCGTTACGTTTGCGAAAAGTATACTAAAGAATTTTTTTTGAGTGTTACGTTGTTACGTTTGGAAAAAGTATACCAAAGAGTTTTTTAGTGTATTACATTGAAGTGTTACGTTATTGGAGTGTTAAATTAGAGTATTAGATTTTTGTTCGTAATGTGAGATTTATTCTAGAATGAGTGTTACATTGGAGTGTTAAATTTTTTAGAAAATCACTTTTATCCCTAAAAATTAAACCAAAACATGTAAATGACTACCCTTTTATGTAATTTCTACTTTAATGGGACCTTTGGGTTTATCAGAAAAAAGATAAGACTAAAACGTTCACAATATCACATTTTGAAATTTATTGGTGCTTCACCCTTAACTTTTGAGTGATAATAAAAGGGGAAAAAAAATGAAATTTCCTCTTTCTAATTCCACAAACTCTTGTTGAGCATAACATGTGCATAGTAGCCGTTTGGTTTGTATTTTTGAAAAATTTTTGGGAAATTTTCTCTACAAATAAGTTTTTAAAAGTAATCAAACCAAACAAATTTTTCCAAAAAAATTTCTCAAAACTTGTAAACCAAACAAGTTTTCCAAACAAATCTTTCTCTCACACACATCAAATCAATCACTTTTTCCAAAACTCTCTCTCAAAATAATTTTCCAAAACATCTTTTGAAAAAAATCAAACCAAACAACTTTTCGTACTTTTTATCTCTAAAACACATCTCTCAAACACAAACCAAACATACTTGTGCCCTCTTTGGCTATTGGGACATTTTGTTTGTTTTATATCTAAGTGGTTGTGTTTTTCTCTACTAATTGGATTTATTGTCCTCATTTCAAAATTGGAAAACGCTAGACCACAAAATTTTTATAAAAAAAAATTTACTAAATAAATATATGAGTGGAAACCACACTGTATTTGATAAATTTTTTAGTAAATTTTTTTTATATCCCTAACATTGTGGGATAAATTTGCCCATACAATACGACGGATAGTCATTTACAAAAAGTCAATTTTATTCATACACTACAATAAAACATCATTTATACATTTCAGATATAAACTTTGAAATAAATATCAAATGTTTGGACATATATTTCTAAACAAAAACCAATTGTTCAAATATAAACAAATATATGTGAGCAATTCAATTTTGTTCCAACATAAATGTTGTGTACTATTTTCTGTGAGGTGCAAACAGACTACGCCCCTTATAATACATTTTTTCAGTAAATATTAAATATTTTCGTAACAAATGTTATGTAATCTTCTAGGATTTCAGGTAGAACTATGAAAATTTGTGATTCAAAAATCAAGTAGGCATTTTTGTGGTAATATTATGCAGTTTATGATTCAAAAATGTTTCGATAAAAAAATGCATAACATTATTAAAAAATACAAAAATATATTTTTAATCGCAAAATAAAATTACATAAACATTAGTTACAAATATACATGACGTACATTAAAAAAAAAAAAAAAATACATACGCAACATGCATAAAAAATATATATATAAATAAATAAATAAGCATAAAAAGCAGCATAAACTACATCCCCAATCGAAGGGACTTCCAACAAATGGTCCGTCGACAGCTGAAACAACTATGCATATGCATTCTAACAGGTCTCTGGTAGATACACTCACAAATCATCTACAGAAAAAGAAAAATTTAATTACCAAGTTCATTCACATACATCATAGCAACATTCCTGAGAAGATCAAATACAGAATAGGGCAATATTCATCTATGGCCTGTGGAACATAACTATAGTCCATGGCCAGATGAAGGACAGTAGTGTACTACTAGTAACATGCTAAAAGAGTCCAATTGAAAACTAGATTACATATGACAATATTTTCAACTAATACAGACCAAGTTCTTAAAAACTCATCCATGCATTCACCTTCTTGTCCTTCAATAGTAATGTACCTTCCTCTTGAATCAGTAAGATTTTCTTCTCTTCTTTCATTTTCCTTTCCCTTCTGTCTTTTTTACTTTTGGGAAAGCATGGAAAAGGAAAGTTCAGTAAAAATTATCCCATGGACGGCCCTGCACGTTCATCACCTGTTCTTTCAGTTTCAACAGAGCACCAAAATTAAGATACCCAAAAGAAAAGGTTCCATCGCAAACTCTCCTTCAAGGTTTCTTAACATAATACACATTTTGCAGAGATGATACATTCAGCAGAATAAACAGATTATGATCTTACTATTTCTCAGGTTTCCCTGGATGCATAGGAAAAGAAAAGAAAAGAGAAGAAAATTAGAAGAGGTATTTTGCTTCATTAGATGCACACCCCATGGATCCATTGGTCATGTAGATCCTCACCGTGAAGGCCACCAAATGTGATAGAACCCTGCAACAATATTATAGCAATTTTAGAAAACTTCGCAATCCCTACTTTTTCAGCTAGCCCTTCACTGATTTAGGAGTTACTTGACCACCGCTTCCTCCATTTGCATTAAATCCGGTGATAGGCATGGATTGTTGAGCAAAATCTAATAACAGCTTCCTCTGTTGCTCGTCAGTGTGTGGAAGACTTGCACGTAGAAGTTCGACAGGCATTTCCTTGCTTATGGCTCTCGTGGTCTCAGAATCAATAATCTCACTGCTCGGCTGGCCGTGCATGTATATCGATTGCACTAAACTATCATATTTACTAACACAATACTTGGTCAGGAGACCAAAGAACGCATCAAACGAGGCCTGCCAAAGGGCAGGGTTGGGTATGCTACAGTTACTAGCAGCACGAGGATCAGTCAACAGTTTGGTTGCCCTTTCGAGAACAGATATTAAAATAACCGAGGCCCCATCCCCAGCAGGGCTTCCAAGGGGACGGAGTGGTGGTTGCTCCGCTGAACAAACTACCGCAGCAAGACAAGCACTAAGCGCATTAAGATCCATCCCATTAACACACGTCGAAACTATCTTCACAAGATTAGTAATCGTCTCAGCTGCCCCTGAATGCAGGAAGACCACCAAACAAAAACCTCAAATGACGGAAGATAGCCATGCAAACTATTCGGGCAAGCTCTCCGCCGGGGAAGAGAAGTTTAAGGTACCTAGAAAGGAGCTTGCGACCCTTTGCAAGAGAAACTAATCGTAGGAACACAATGTCATCTTTGGGGGCCAACCCAACTGAGGAACTTTTTCCAAGTGGGTCAACAAGCTGAAGTGAGGCAGCCAAGCCTTCCAACAGGATCTGTCGCCTCCGCCTAAGCTGAGTTCCACCATCTTGTGGCTGACTAAATTGTAGGAGCCGGTCAATGTCGTCTATGTCAAGAAGAAGACAAATTCCATCTTCGATGGTGATTCTAGCTGCAAGCATTGGTTCCTGTTCTAATGGCTTTTCAGAAACTTGCTCAGCACTGCCATTGCCAGAAGCAGAGGAAGGAGGGTCAACTTCTAGGAGAGGACGTGGCCTACGTATTGAAGAGAAGGAGACCCTCCCAAGTGCATCAACTTGGAGATGTGGAAGTGAGTCTGCACTATTACGAGATCGAGAAGTAAGCTCTTTTGGATGGATTGGGCAGAAACGATGTTTTGATCCCAATTCAGAAGCTTTTTTTGCAAGACGAGCTTGGTGATAATAATCATCTACATATGGATCATTTCCATGTGTGACAGCATGCTGCATTCTAAGAATACTCTCTATCTCCTCAGATGTCATATACTTCGATCTGAACTGAGGGCAACCACTATCAGTCTTCTGGTTACTAGTATCAGAACCTTGTTGAGAGAGACGGATATTCTGTCTACCTCTTTGTGATGATTTAAGTCTTTGATCTCTCATATCCACCAACCCATATTTACTCAAATGTGCGGGCGAAGAAGTAAGGGCATTAAATACTTGGGATTGCATTGCTGAGAAATGGGCTAAAGATGGTTGAACTGGAAGATGCATCCTTTGCTGTTGCAGCTGCTGCTGTGATGGAAGTAACTGTGAAGATAATAACCCTTTCTGGTAAGAGAATTGTTGTTGCGAAATGTTGTTTAAGTGATTGGAATGGTCCCCATGAAACATGCCAGCATGGTTGGCCCAGTGGTTTTGTGATCGGCTGTTAATAGAAAGACCAGAAGGGTCCAACTGAGCCATATTTCCACCATAATGCAACCCATGAGGTAAGCCGGCCAAATGTAGATTAGAGCTAGATAAAGGAGAAAAGTTTGGAGCAGAAAAGGGTAACTGATGACCTCCGGTATGAGAAAAAATATTTAGGTGATGTGATTGGTTGCGTGGTGAAGCCTGTTGAGATCTGCCACCAGGTGGAGGGAAAAAGCATAAAAGATGATTTGGGTACCAAAATAGGTTCGCTGGAAAAGTGTTGCTGCTGTTGTTGCTGCTGTTGTTGCTGCAGAGGATATGACGATGTTCTGTACAAGGGTTTTGTTTCTGCAATACGCACTGAATTATGTGGCTGTGATGACCATCGTTTGCCTTCTTGGGAACTTTGTGTGTCATATATATGCGGATCTAACCAGTCAGGGAAATCTGCCTCCTGTGACCATTCAGCCGCAGATGAACCTGCAGGTAATCTCAGTTAACAGAGGACAAGAAAACAAGCTCAAGGAATTAAAGATTAACAATGACTCAATCAAAGAAAAACACCTTTGTGAATTTTTTAAGTGCCCCAAACAGGGGAATAAATGAATCATTAGATGCGAACAGAAAGAAGCTACAATTCACATACCATGACTGTTCAATATGTATTTTATTAATCATATCATGATCCTATTAATATGCTTTTATGTATTTCATTGCTTTTTATTTCTTTTCAAATTTCAAGAATGGTATGGAGAATGGCACACAGCCACACACACATGCGCATGTGCACATGCACACACACACGCACCCCACATAGAATCCTTGTTGTATATTTACCTCCATCAGATGTCTCCAGGGAAGCAAATGCTTCATGTATTTCATTGCTTTATTTCTTCATAACAATCAACAATGTTCTGGACAAGAATGCACACATGCATTCCATGTAGAGTCGTTATTGATTGATACTAAATATTCATTTTTATCAGATGTCTCCAAGGAAGCAAAGTAAAACAGGTTCAATATCACGAGACTGAAATATAATTTGAGCTCTTTACAACATAAATTAAACAAATCAAATATATTCAACAAAAGAGTAAGTAATAGTAGTGATTCAATGATCCAAAGTAAAGACCACGGTTTAGTAATAATAAGCAATTTTGAAAGAACAATTGCAAGAAGAAATTAGGGAAATACCAAATCAGTGGGACAGTGGATAAGTAATTGCACTATAGATGGAATCTTTTGTGGTGCAACTCTGACACACAGGATGGACCTGCACCATGCACACAAAACTTGCACCATCTTGAAAATGAAAATATTGTTTCACTCACTGAAATGCAATTTCCCCGAAGAAATTCAGTGGACACTGAAAGACTTGATTTCAGGGTATCGGTAGCAACAAAACTGATGAAAATTTACTGCCCTGATTGTTAAATTTAATCTAATGTAATTTTCCCTTTGAATCGGAGTGGTTAGGGTATGCCCTACAAAGCATGGGTACTACTAAAAAGTTACAGTGTCCATCTCTCGGACATCTGTTGAACGCCGACACCAACCCCAATACATGTTGGACACACATCCAAAAGTGTCTTACTATTTTATTGATCTTTTTAGACCCATAAACAATTTCAGACTCACAAGGGACATGACTGTCCATTGCTTAGAAACACAAAAAACACAGAGATCTAGACACAAGTGTGTAAAAAAAATGGTGGTCCAATCTGTATGAAAAAAAAAAAAAAAAAAAAACCCTCAAGAATCAATGATTAAATTCAAAACAATGTGGATTTATACCTATTAATCCCTCCACTGTGTTTTTTGATTTTTGGAATCCTCAAGCAAAAAGCTTCCAATTTGTTATGTCTTTTTAAAATAGATATTAAAATATTTTGTTTACACTACATTTCCAATGTATCAAATTTAAAATTTGTCGAAAATAACTATATAGTCAATGAATAAAATCAAAATATTGTGGAGTAGTCCCTAGGGCTTTTTTATTTTAGAAACCCTAAAACCAAAAAGTTTCAATTTGTTTAGTGATGGAGCTTTTTAAAATAGATAATAAGACATTCTGTTCACACCTCTTTTCCAAAATATAAAATATAGAAAATGATTTCTTTGTATTTCGATGTAGTAGAATTTATAAGTATTACTAACATAAAATTAATTGTTAATATTTTCATGTATACATTATTTTTCGCAGCGTCCCTTTCATGTCTATGGCCTTCTTTTTTTTTTCCTTATTTTTTTTTTTCTCCAAAATTATTGTCAGCGTGTATATATCTGTCATGTGAGGAAAAATGTTTAGGTAACCCCTTGGTTGTTTTTGTATTGGCAATTTCATTCCAATATTATTGGAGGGTTAGTTGGGTCTTGAGTATGTTTCATAGTAAAACATCAACAAGTCATCTTCAACTTCAAGCCTTGATCGTACAAACATAATCCACTTTGTTGAAGAGATAAAATTTATGTATTGTATTAGCATCATTTACGGAGTTTTGTCTAGATTAGTCCTTTGGGTTGGTTTGTTCAGAGAGTTCTTGGCCATAGTTTAGTTTTGGACAATAGGCTAGATCAATTAATGGGTACGACTTTTAGGACCCATACACTTCGTTCGTTATTGAGCCTTGTACATCAGGCTAGTTTCACTTTACCTTGTATACTTCAAGAGAAATGCACATTTGAACACAGAAACAACTTCGTTCGAACAAGACAACCATCTCTTGCAATTGGCTAAACAATTCTTTACCATCTTTGTATACTTCACTTTACCATCTTTGTAACCAAACAATTCTAACCCTATCGGTCACCTCCATGTTTATAACCAAACAATCCTTCCCCCTCTCTATTCCCTCTCTCTGCACCACCATCCCCTACTCACTCACTCTCTCTATCACCACAAAACCCTCCATCACCATTCAAATTCCACTCACCATATCAACAATTTCTCTCAACAATTTCAAAGTTACAACATATAATACATATATGCAAGTATTCATGTACACATTTGTATCAACACATTTTGAACGATATGGTTTACTATGGAGGGTTTGGGCAAGAAGATCTGGATCAGCTATTCAAGGCAATGCAATCAAATTAAAAATCATAGTGCTCTAGATTTATGCCCTTCACAGAGGGGGGCAACAAGTCTAATAGTTCAGCAAATCATAGTTCAACATCAGATTGGACAACAAAGACAACCATCTATTGTAATTGGCTAGTTGGATGTTATCAATCTAGTCTTCCTCCAGCACATCCGCTTTGATATTGCAGTATAATTTTCTTTAAGGTAAATTACACTAGCCTTAGGGAGGTGGAGGCGATGGTTGGTGGTTTATGACAAATGAAGCGGAGGTGGTGAGTAGTAGGTGAGGCAGAGGTGTGATGGCAGTGGGTGGCAAGAGAAGAGAGAGGTTGAGTGCTGTGGTGTTGACGTGTGACGACAGTGGCTGGTGGTGATGATGGATGGCGGCAGCATAGTGGTGAATCTGCAGTACCTCTCTCTCTCTCTCTCTCTCAACGAACATCAGCAACACCTCCAATCATCATTACAACAATCATCTTTTCACTATTCGTTTTCCCTCTACCATTGAATTGTGGCTGTTTGTTTTGTAGATTTTATACTTAGTAATTTAGTATCCATTCCTCTGGTTATTGGTTGATTGTGTCGAGATGTAGAGATGAAATGGTGTGGTTGCTGCCCGTGAGCCTATGGTTGCTGCCCGTGGGGGTTGTTCAGCGGTGGAGGTCTGGGTTAATTTTATTATAAAAATTAATGAAATAAAATAAAATAAAATAAAAAGAAGAAGAAGAAGAAGAAAACAGCCTATCATTCCCAGTGGTTAATGGAGACAACGATGATGCAAGTGTGTTGGTAAGAACTTGTGCCACCAAGAGTTTCGGGTTTGAGGTAGATTTGATAATGAAAACCATCATGATTTTGTCAGGTGGTAGTGGTCGGTAGCAATGCTGTGGGTGAGCGGTGGCTGTATGATGAATTTGGTTGTGTTCAATCCTTGTACTGCCAAAATGTTTAATTCTATGGATTTTCAATAAAGGTTATGATGAATGTTCAGGTTTTGGTGACCCACCATGATGGTGGCAAACAATGATCGCTTGAAATAAAGGTTTGGATAGTGGTTGCGGTGGTTGTTGGGTACAAAATATATGTTGCAGCAGTATAGCTCAGGAGAAGGCAATTGTTCAAAAAATAACATTTTTTAATAGAAGACTTCATCAAGTAACCCAAATCATATGACTAGACCAAGTTGGAATAAACTGCACAATTGCACATGTAATTTAGATTGCAATGCTCAATGCATATCAATGTGAGAATGATATAAGCTACCGACTTACCATTAAATTGAGCATGATTAGAGGAACATTAGCATCAGGTGGTCAGTTCATATGTTTTTATTGACTAGTAAGGTGTAGAATCAAGTAAGATGTGAATGCAAGAATGCCATCATTATCTTTTAAAAGTAAAGAAAATACCACTGCATGTTTAAGCCTAAAGACTATTTAAACCATACATGACAGTGGGCAGCAAATGAGCACCCGTTGGTCATCTTAATCACAATATAACTAGAAGTGGGGGGAAAAAATTAATAGCACTAAAAATTGAAACCATTACTATCAGGTTCATCAAGGCTCCCACAATAGGATAATATAACCCAAATATAAGCAACAATGGATGTACTTACTTTCCCTCGAAATTGATCCAGATCCTCGATCACCAATTACACCAGGATGTCTTGGTCCAGTAACAACTTTGTTCAACTGCACAATAGAACAACTTATCTAAAACTGGAAGAAGAAAAATATAATCTGAGTGATGATGCTGTTGATGATGATGATGACAACTAAGCAACCATAAGATTATGGATGTGTTATATAGAACTTTTGGTATGTCACATGCTACAAGGGTGATTATTGTCACAGAAATATTATTAACTGTTTTTTTTTAACCAAAGTGGCCCACTCAATGTTTTAGGTAACTGTTTCTCTCCACTGTCTTTCTCATTAGACCAGTTACATCTTCACAAATCCCACATGAAGTGGAATACTTGAAATCAAATTATTTACAAGGATGAAATTCTCATTATGCCATTAACCGATTAAAACTTGGGGCATTTACACATAAGTTCCATGTTGTGAACTTATAATCCATTAAATCCTAGATAAATTTTGTGCTCCTTCAAGTCCTATTAATTTTTAATAGACGAAACTACCCTTCAAACAATCATTGGGAGGTCAGTGTGCTGATAGCCAACATCAAGACCACAGCATCTCTTAGAGGTCCCTCTTTCTCTTGGAGTCCAAGAACGACCAATTAGGTGGAGCATTGGATGGCCACCAAATATCTCAGAGGAGAGTTGGCTCTAAATTGGATGGTGGACCCCACGTTACCTTTATTTTCTCTTGTTAGTCATGATTTTCCTTAATCTGTATGCCTTAGGGCCTTTCTTTGTTAAAAAAAATAATAATAATGGTTGTTCATCATTTGTAATTGTTTATAAAAGTGAATGGTGATGTGACATTTATTTTGACTTTCAAAGCTTCAAAACATCATAATTTCTACAATAGACATTTATCAAAAATAAATGTCCATCAAACAGACTAAGAAATTTATGTGCAAAATTGAGAAATTTCTCAATTTTTTTTCAATTTTAAAATTGAGAATATTATCAGTTTTTAAATTGGAAAAAACTAATAATCTTTGTTTTAAAAAAAAAAAAAAAAAACTGAGAAATTTCTCAAAAAATAATATTCTCAGTTAATATTGGGAAAAAACTTAGAAGCTTCTCAATTTTACTACATAGTTTCGCAAACTGATAAATTGTTAGTTTTTTATAGCTAAAAAAAAAAATATTTTATTTTTATAAAATTTTATATTCAATATTGGTCTTGTTTAATAGATCTCATTGTGTAGCCTCCAAAAATATAATTTTTATTAAAAATAAATGTGTATAATAAAAGTTATGAAGTTTTTAAATTTTGAAAAAACAAAACAAAAGTAAATGCCATATCAGAAATACCCATTTGAATAAGAGAAATTATCTAGTGCTTTTGAGGCATGGTTAGGTTGTTACCAAAAGATTTGTGATTGGTGGAGAAGATAGGGCATGAGACATAATGCTTGGTGATTGGTGGATAACATTGTCATGAGGTGTGCACTTGTAACACCTAATAATTTTTTATTAGCACTCAATGGATTGATGCTTCTCAATTCCTTCAATTTTTTAATAAGGATAAAATGGACATAAATACATAAATATTTTGAAAATAGGACTTCATGGGTTCAAAACAATGAAAGAGGACTTAATGGGACACCAACCTTACCAACAGGGCTTTTAAGTAATTAACCCTAAAAAATTCTCAAATCGCTATTGCTTTAAAGAAGGGAAACTCCAAAATGGTGGTCTCCCTTTGTAAGTATTGATAGAACTAAGATGACCTTGTTAGGCAACCCCGATCTATCTTTAAGTATCTTACATGGACTCTGAAATAAATCAAATATCCGTGCCGGACACCTAACACTTGGACAAGAGTGACGCATATCCGTTTAATACTTTTCATCAAACACTACTTATATTTTTATATTTAACAACACTATTCTCATATGCATATATTGTTGTCTAGTTGCTATAAAATCAGTAAAATGTGTTTTTGACATTGTATGTTACATTTAATACCATTTTATCTCACGTAATAGATTCATAATATTAAAAATAAGACTTTTTTCCCCGAGTCCACATACCCCTATATTTGAGATTTGATGGGCATACCCTTATATTTAAGATTTGATGGGTCCGATCTCTAGATACACAGCCACACCCAACACCCGTACCCGCACCCAAGTCCATGTAACATAGACCATGATATCCCCATGAACTCTCTTTAGATGAATAAAAAGGGCAACCTTTAAGTCAAAGACATTCCATTTTTAACAGTTTTGATTGGAAGCATGTGCTTCCTAGATTCCACCGTTTGTGAATCCAAAGTCAGAAATCATATAACAGTTAATATATAGGAGTAGCAATATTCACTAGGTATGTTTAGGGAACCCATTTATTTCAGAAAGCCTAAAACTCTATATAAATAGTACATGAAGAACCTCTAGATCCCTCACATACATTGATCATTGATGGGTTGGATGGTGGTCGATTGGGTTAAGGATAATGCAATGCATCAATTTAGTAACAAAAAGGAATTTACTAATAAAGGAAAGAGAGAACAAAGTAAGAACAACGAGTCCTCTTACAACCATAAAGGAAAAGAAAGTCACTATCAAGCATTTCTATAACAATTCCGGTTTTGACCCGACCATTTTCATGCTCTTGGATCCGGATTCCGTACCTTTTAAGTGTTGTTTGTACCCTTTTCATTCTTGTTGTTAGTTGAGTTTGGTTGTGAGGAATTATTGGTTGTGTTTGAAATAGGTTGGGAGTTAATTTTTTCAATAAAGTTGTTGTATGTTTCACTTCTGGTTAACTCGAGCGATGCTTTGGTCGCTCGAGCGGTCTTCGAGATCTCTCAACATTTTTGCAAGTTTGTACAACTTCTGGGAATGGGTGATCTTCGCTCAAGCAGTTTTTTCTTCGCTTGAGCGGTCTTTTGCAGGTCTGAACTTTTGGGAAGGGGTCATTATGCACTTGAGTGATATTTTGGTCACTCGAGCAGTGTCACTTATTGTGTCTGATGCTCAAACGATAGTTTGGTCGCTCGAACTGTCTGTACATATGTCAGTTTTCGGAAAAAGGGATTTTTGTCACTTTTTCACCACTTCTCTCTCTAAAACACCTCTAACCCTAATTTCTTCCCATTCTCTCTCTAGTTCCTCCCCATTTGATAGGACTTAAAACTTGGTTTTGGTTTGGTTTGGTTTGGTTTGGTTTGGTTTGGTTTTCTCTCTACTTCCTGCTTAAAACCTCAAATACACCCTCACCCATTGATTTCTCCACCATAGTTCCTTGGAGAAAAAGGTAGAACTCATTGGAAGCTTCGTTTTAATCGGAGTGGATCTCGTTTTCAGTCTTGTAAAACTTTCACCCTTACTCTCTTCATCTTCTACTCTTAAGGTAGGGATTTCTTCAACCTTTGGTATAATTTTTAACTAAATTATTTGCTCTTAGAAAAGGTTTAGTGATTTGAAAATTTTGCGTTATATCTAGAGTTTGATTTTGAAATATAAAAGAGGGATTTTTCGAATAAATTCTTGAGAGAGGGTGTGAGAGCGTGTATATTGTTGGGTTGTGTTGAAATTTTGAAAACTTCCTTAAATGAGATTTTGAAAATCACTAATGTTTGGTTTATAAAAGTAAAAGAAAAGATGTTAGGTTTGAAAAGATAAGAAGAATGTATCTGTAGATGATGAGAGTGGAGTTGGATATTTATCATTGCTTTCATTTGAAATTTATTAGATTTTATCTATTGTTGAAAAATTATCTGTTGAGTATAAATATCCGTTTTGGGTTATCGGTGAAGGATAATTGGATTATTGTAGAAATTGTATGAGAATTAGGTTAAATTGAAACTAATTACTCATACATCTTGTATCGAGCATTGTTTCATACTTGAACATTGAAAATATATTGTTTTTGAGAAAAAAAAAGTATATACCTTGGTGAATCTGGTTAGGAGATGTGGTTGTTATTTATATTGTTGGCATGTGTGTCCTTGGTGAAAGTCCAAAAACCCACGCGATTAGATGCCGATCCTTCTAGTTAGTACCGGTAAAATGGCTTTAGTAGTGCTTGTATAGCCTACTGGCAGATGTACCTAAAGATTGCCAGTGTTTTCTATCCACTGCCCTGTTTTCTGATATAAAAGTGTATTTTTCATGAATTGAAATATATTGATAATATCATTGCATTGTTTTGAGATGGAAAAGTATAATGTTTGGCAAAAGACATGCATATGCATTCACCTTATGACTTCATTAAGTTTCATACATAGTGTTAAGGTATCTCTACTGAGTTTTAGCTCACCCTATGTGGAAAACAAGGTGCTCATGATATGCCTACACCAAGGACTTATAGCTTGGGTGTGAAGCTGAAGGCTCATTTTTGTTTCTTTGGTGTAATTATCTTTGTTACAAGCCTCGGGCTTTTTAATTGCTTTGGACTTGATCCATCTTGGTGTAACCAAGCAATGTCTTGGAAAGATGTAATTATTACTAATAACTTATTAGGGTATAAACTTATCTATATTATCTTTTATTACGGTTCACTCATATATGACATATGTTATAGATTCAGGATCTAAGATTTATGAATGTATACTCGCATTTGATATCTTTTGTACGGTAAAAAAAATATAAATAAAGGCTTAATATTTCGCATGTCTATATTTTCTATTGGATATCATGAGGTGGGTTGTCGCTATTGTTTTGGGGTGTTACACTTTCAAAGAAAGAAAACCAAGAATCACAAACAGCTCTCCAATCCTTGGATATCAAAAGGAGCGGAAACCCTATAAATGGAGGAGAATTATAGGTCCAAAACAAAGCTAAATGACACGCTTTAAATGGAACTGTCTCTTCCTTCTGCAGTATTAGTTCCAAACTGGAACTAACAACAACTTATGTGCATTGTTCCTTGCCTCACACACATGTTTTCACCCTTTGTAATATTTTTTCCCACAAATGGTCATCACTATAAAGCTTCCGATTGCTGCCAGAGGCCAGAGTACTTTATGTATTGAATAAGTACGATGTTGTGGTATTTCCAGTAGGGTGAGATCAGCTTAGGAGTGCCTGTAATTATTTCCACGACTAACATGACAAAATCAAATTGCCAATACATTTTAAGTTTTTGTGCTTATTGCATACTTACAAGTCATCAAATACTAGTAATTTTACTGGTAGGTTAGGTTTCATACTTGATCCACGCTAGTGCGAGATCATGAGTGACTGTATGTCAATGTTAAATCACTGACTACAACATAGCAGCAATAGCATAGTGCAAATAGTTGGTCACAAGGTGGTGTGGAGCCTTCTAGGAAGACGGTAAGCACTGAGCTGACAAGGGACAACCACCAGTGGTGGAGGGTGGAGGGTGGAGAGTGACGGTGCATGAGGTCTTAGATGGTGAGAGAGAGTGTGGTAGTGGAGGTTCAAGCATTTAGACTATAGACTCTCTCTGACCAGTGAAGGTGCTGATCCCACCCCAAGGGAAGAGGGACAATGAACCATGAAAAACCTACAACTGGTTATCCCCCATGTTAGATGGACTCAGACAAAGTATCAGGCACGAGCAAAGTTTTTAACGGCGAATGCGTACCTCAAGGCATTTTACCCTTCATGAGGAGAGGCATAAGCCTCGGAGCGGCGTAAGCCTCGAAGCATTGAGGTGTAAGCATTTCAAATTTTAATATTTGGTGAATAAATTAAATATTTTAAAATAGTAAAAAAAATAATAACAATTAAATATAAAGGTGTAAATACGTTTCTCCTTAAGGTTTTGAACATTCTACTACATAAAATGAAGTTTTCCTTCACTGAAAGTGAAATTGATATTCTTGACTTTAGTGATTGAGCTTCTCACTTAACCATTAACTTTTTTTTTTTTTTTTTAAATTGATCATTTACTTAATATGCCCTGCAGAATATAGTTGCAAAAAAGGTTTCTTTTTATTTTTTTATGTTTAAACAATCTAATAAGCTAAGTTTAACAAAAGTCCAAGGCAACCTCGGCATATGCGTACTCCTCACATGGTTATGTGCAAAAAGTGTACAAAGCGTACTTAAGGCGCACGTTTCAAACTGTGATGCGCAAGCCTTTGGAGAGTAATGCCTAAAAATCAAAGCCTTAATGCGTTTTACCTTAGTCTCAAGCGAGGCGAGCATCAAGGCGAGTCTCAGGAAAGTCTTTTAAAACTCTGGGCGTGAGTGCGTGTCCAAGGACATATAACCAAAAGTTGGATATGGGAAAGGGAATGCATCATAGACAAATTTTAAATAAGATGTAAATTATATAGAAATGAGCTTGAAATTAAATAAAATTTAGAAAAAATAAGAAATTTCTATCAATCATCCATGTATGAAGCCAGAAACGTTCCTTTACTAACAAATGTGAGTTTCTTCAAAAATTGTAAAAAAAAATTTAGAGAATTCAAGTGTCCAAATAGGATACGGGTGCCATACACATATCCTACACCCTTATCCTTTTCATTTCTGGTGTACACAAGTACTTTGAAAGAAGAGTCCATGTAACATAGGTAATCTCAAGCAGGGGTCATGAATCATGAGTTCTACTCCTAACTTAGGCAAGTACTGGTAACATCAGGGTGCCTTTTAGAGAACAAACATATAAGAGGTCGAAGGACCCGCTCAAAGTCTTGGACAAGCACACAACATGGAGGGCATGCTCAGCCAAAGAGTGAGCATGCCCAATACATTTTATGAATTTTGTAGAGAGCAGCATAGAAGAGGACACTTGCGATGAGACTTGCTTGATTGAGTTACCGAGTGTGTCTTCTCAAGAGATGGTTGTCCTTGATTTCCCAAGCTTGAGTAACTGAGTGTGTCCTCTTAGTCCAATGGAAGGGTGTGCTACACGCAGTTTAGAGATGGTTGTCCTTGATTTCCAAAGCTTGACACTAAAAGGCACCTTTGGCACACTATTCTTGATTGATATAGCTCGACCCTAGAGAGGTGTGTATAGAATATAACAATTTCACTAATTGAATTTAGATAAGAGAAACTTATTACCAACACCTTACTAAAGGAAGCTTAAACTTCTCACCACTCATCAGACACGAAAGAATTATGCTGAGACTGAGACCAACTTCACCGCAGATCTTTTCTTCAACATCACATTTAGATCAAAATTGCACCAATAATTATAATATTTTTCATTTAAATTCTTAAACTTCAACCATAACAAATATCAGAACCTTACTTGCTAGATGTCATCTTTGAAGAAAGGAATCTATCAGTTATCACTATAATGCAAACTGCAAAGACTAATGGATACATCTGATGGTTGGCATCAAATCAGCGAAAATGACAACAGCAGTTAAAATCAATAAATATTTAATTGCTACAAGCATTCTACTAACAAAATAATAAAACTGGATATTCAAATGACATAGGAAATGAGAACAATAAAAATTAAATATTTACTGCCTGAACATCCCAGGTGTTATGGAAGCTAACCTTTGAAAATGTACTTGTCAGATCATCAATATCAGATAAGGATCCAATGCCTGATCCCTAATACGAACAAGAATAAACAAAATCAGAGACAACAGACTATGAGTACAGAAATAAATAATAAATTGTATACCAGCATTCATATTAAAGGTCACCCATGAAACTAATGTTTCAGAAGATAAAAAAAGATATGGTCATTGAAGACAAGAAATGTTTTCTTTTTTTTTCCTTCCTTTTTCATTGTGATATCTCAATCCCTACTCTCTTCTATTTCTTACATATCATTTAAAACTACCACATCTTTTGGTCACCTAAATTGCATCTTTCCAATGAAATCTGCAACAAACTCACAAAGAAGAACCAACTTAATCCTCTTCGAGCTAACCCTCTCAACCAAATAACTACATTGAAAAAAAATGAAACACAGCAACAGATATCTCAACTATTCCTCCACAGCTCCATAATATAAATTGGAATCCTATTTGCTTAGACCACTCAGACTTCTTAAAAACCATTGTTGTACCATAGACTACATGTTAAAACCTACCATCACCTACTCCACCTACTATACACCTACCACTACCACCTACTACCACCTACTCCACTACATCTCCTATATAAGGAGCCCCTCACCATTTGTAAAATATAACATAAATCAATCAATAAACATACATCAATCAATAATACAATTCTCTCTATTTCTCTATACATTGAATTTTCACACTACATTAAGTAAACAAATTATGAAAGTGCAAGCTTCAATGCGTCTCCTCCATTTGGCTGCAAAACCCGTCGTCCAACATACCATTGCCCATAGGAATCCCCAATTAGCATGATCATAAACCCCAATATGCAAACCCCATTCACATCACTTGTCAACCATGACTCCATGAGTTAATAGAGTCATCAATAACTAAAGCTACATCCAAACATTGCAAACCCCCACCATTAGCATCATGAGATTCAAAATCTACATCTCTTGCCATCTTCCTCAAATGCATAGCATTAACTTTCCCCTCCAAATTACATTCATTTGCCACCAAGCTAATCCTTAAAATCCTCTGCCTCACATTCATTTTGTTTTGGAGTCAAAAGATTAAAGAAGAATTTAAAGCCCCAACTCAAAACTCTTAATGTATAAAAAATGTATAGTTTGCCACTGCCATGACAACCTCTGTACCTCGCACTTGTGTTATCCCATGTAGACCTAGACCTTCATCAATTTTACAGGACTCCAAAGCTTCTAACACCCCCTTTAAATTAGCCGCTACAACCATGCCATGTACCCCAAAGTTAAGGACCCAAACTGCATTCCATCTAATTTAAGCCTCCAAGTGCTATAGTCTCTAAAAAAGACTCTTATGCAAATGATACACATTTGACCTGCTCTGCTCTTTCCTATTCATTTTCTCAGCATCAATAATCATTCTTCTATCATGGTTTAATTTATTCTAAGCATATGCTAAGCTATGAAAACTTACATATACATCTATATTTTATCCCCTCTGTTAGCCACAATGATGAGGTTTCTATGTCTAGCTCAATTCCCCAAATAGGACAACCCTCGCTAACTTTGTTTTCTTTCCCTCCATTATCTCCTTCATTCTACTAACAAGCCTCATTACTTTCTTTAACATCTAGCTCCTTTACTTCCCCTTACAGCCTAGCCTCCTTCACGCCTCCGTTTTCAAAAACCTCGTTACTCCACTTGCTTAAGTCCATCTTCAACAACCACCACCCACTGACCACCACCCACTGACCACCACCAAAACCCTTCTCCTACAACAACCAAAATATGAATATGACCTAACACCATCTAAGGATAAATGGGCTGCACACTTTCTGAAAATGCTCATCCAAACTTTTCAAAACAAAAACTTCTCTCCTCGACGTAGAAAAAGAAGACATTAATTATTCAGTTGGATGAATTATCCTCCCCCAAGTGTACGGCCAACAAATCTTTAGAGTAAATGAACTCCAAAATTCCTCCCTTAAAACTAAAAACATTCTTTGGCATCCTTTCTTTTGTATGGAAATTGAATCACATCAAAGTCTACAACAGTTCACCAATGACGTTCCATGTAGCCACCACCTCCCTTAACTGATCCCATGAAGCCGCCCTCCCCACCCCACCCAAATCATCCACTACCCTATGTGAACTTGAAAAGGCCCTAGAAATGCCAGGCCCCACTATTGAAAATGAACACTCCACAAATCTACCTCCCAACACAATTAAAACAATCTCATTAGTGACTAACAGCCTCCTACTCCTTTGTAAATATCTTCAATGAAAGCCTCATTCTTCAGAATATTCAACCCCTTGACAATTCATGAACTTATTTAAAGCTTCACGGAGAAACAATCAGCAACTCCCTTTCTTTCCTAGTAAGCCTGTGTACCTTCTTGGTAGTGAATGTCATACAGCTCTTCCAAGTTCCACTAAATGATTGAATTCTTCAACATCATTTAATTTGCTGGATACCAGCCCCTCTAGCACATCCTCCTCCTATAAAGTCTCTATAGCCCCTCTTTATGCTTCAAAGTCTCATTTTATCCTCCTCGAAGTTCTCAAATATCACTTGCGAGAAGGCATCAAAGTCCCTAAGTTTAACGCCTAAAGCAAGACTGACTTCTTTCTTCACCTTCATCTATTCCAATCACAACACAATAGTGTCGTACCTTGAAGGTGATCACATCACAACTGGAGTGGTCCAAGTGGACTCTACTAGAGGATAACACTTCCATATAGCCTAGGAGTGGATTTGTCTCCACCTTAAGCTTCTACTATTAAACAAGCATATTACAAATTCTTTGCAACTTGCAAGGCAACTGAACAGAACCGTACATGGAACTTGAGCGATGCATAGGTTCTACACTTCTGCTTACAAGATATACCAAAAAAGCAACATTAAAGAAAAAAATGTTGCTAACACTAAAAGTTAAGGACCAGTAAAACCAGCATGCTAAGAAAAAAGTAGAAGAACAACTAATGCTCAAAAAGAGATTCACATATAGCCAAACCTGAAGAGCCTCAGCCTCACAAGCAATGTGAACAATATCAATTACTTAAACCACACTTCAAATAGTATTTGATAGTAAGATTTATAATAAACAAACCTTACCTCTTCCTTATCAAAGAGATGGTACTCATCATCACCATACCCAATAACTGGAATGTCATCTTCCAAACCCCCCAACTCAACTTCCTCCACAGCTTCTTGACCAAAAAATGCATACTGTGATGCATTAAAGAGTGCATTTTCTGCATGAAAAGTAAAACAAGTACATAACGTCAAATCAAAAGACAAAACTCGTTCACATTCACAGTACAGGCCATCACAGAAATCCAAGACATAGAAGTTAGTCAAAGAAAACCTTTGTCCATAAGCTCAAGTAAAAGCCTAGGCGAAAAAAGTTGATGTATATGCAAATAAAAATATAAAAAATCAGCAGACATAAATCAGGTGTACATAACAGAAGTATTTATATGGGATAATTCAATTAAGAAATCAAATAGAACAAACATCTTAACCATTACCATATTCATACACTTGTTGTGCAATTGGTCTCTATTGATCAAAACAAAAGGATAATCGTAATAGGCAAGAGACATTTTGTCAACAAGCTTTCTGAGAGCCCTATTCATGCAATTATTGTTCAAGGTTTCTTCTGCTAAAATTTTGTCAACAAGCCCGGTTTGGGAATAGGCTATTTTAGTTGGCTATTTAACTTTTTAAGAAACGACGTGCAAAAAAATAGAGAGAGTGATGTTGATGTGATATAGGGTGTTTTGTTTTATTGGCTATTATAGCCTGGGATGAGCTATTTTAGCTCATCCCAAACACCCCCAAGGTTTCCAAGAGCCCTATTCATATACTTGCATCGAGGAGACCAATTTGCTCTTGTTGGAGTAGAGCTCATACCAAATCTTTTACCAGGCCCATATAAGGAGTTCCTACAGTCAAGGTTCTAAGGACACCGTAGTTTGAGAGGTACGGCGCCTGCCACCTAAGCGTTCAGTACTCCAAGTGTGTGATTGACCTCAAATCCATCTTGCTATGTTAAACTACTACTAGAATGTGTAGGATGTTCTATTGCAGAGCGTGGGGTGATGGACCCTCAAGGCTCCATTGTTGAATCATTAATATATCCGATCCAAAAAGGTTAGAAGTATGCTCGTTCAAAGAAGTCTCAGTGCAATGTACAAAGACTTCAACGACCTCGTTGCCACTAGGAGCAAGTTGCCCTTCATGAGAGGCAGTGACTACGAGTTGGTTCTTCGATGAAGCCACAATCAATGGGGGTGTTTGGTGGAACTTTTTTGAGCCAACTTATGGCTTTTGGCTTTTAAAAAGTTGTTTTGGACTGTTTGGTTAAACTTATTTTAAACAACTTCTGATTCTAACAACTTATTTTAAGTCAAAAAAGCTTATTCTAAGAAGTTGCTCACCCCTTACTTCTGATTATCAGCTTCTGCTGTGGACATATTAATTCACGATTATACTCTTAAATTTTTTTATTTTTTATTTTTTTAAAAATAGAAAAAGACACAAATGGACTATAAAATATTATTATTATTTTTTAAAAGAAATGTAGACAAATAGTGAATGCTAAAAAATAAAAGTTAATTGAAAAAGCTACTTCACAGCTTATTTAACAAACACTGCTCAGCAACTTAAATCTATAATCCAACAGTTATACTAAACAGATTAACAGCTTCTGATTAAAGTCATAATCAATAATCCATAATCTGTTAAGCTATAATCTATAATCTGTTTTAACAGCTACACCAAACAGGACCAATGAATACCACTTTTTCCCAGAGGAGTATTGTGTCTAAGGATAAACAAGTTACGCATCGGGAGGTGCCATCTGGGACGATGGCAAGCACTGGCATGGTTGGAGAACACTGGATGTGGGAGAGGAGAACCAAGGACAATCCTAGTACAGAGAAAAGGTGGCAATGATGCACCAGAAGAGCAATAATAATATGTGTGGAGATGGATGTGTTGATCCCCTTTGTATAGGTTGACGCTAGAGAGAAACCAACTTTGTCGAGGACACGAGCATGACCCTCTTGCTAGACAAAATCGAGAGAAGCGTGGTCAACTCTGCAACCTCTATTGTAGATCTCAATGAGTGCATCACACAGGTCAAGGTGTAGGTACGATACATCTCTTTTTGAGTGTATCAAGTAGCGAAAAGATAGTAGGTATTATATGGCTTCTAATGCCCTATGAAGCATGGACACGCCAAAATGGAAGCCGTGGGGGTGTCGGATACGGGGACACGCCGCGAAAAGATAGTAGGTATTATATGGCTTCTAATGCCTTAGGTCTCAGTCAAAAAGCCTCTCTCTGTAAGACAGGTATTGGCACACCTTACCCCCGAGTGGGGAGCTCGACGAGTTCTTGGATGAACCTTAGGTGCTAGCCTTCAATCCACAAGTCCTCTGATGTTTTTGAGTGAAGACATGGCCCCTGCTCCCAGCCCAAGTATAAAGAATCTAATAAGCGCTTAAATAATTACATTTAAGCCCCCTAAAGTACATTTGTTAAGTTGTCAATTTTGGTTACTTGATGTATTCTAATGCATTTTTATTTTTTGCAATTTTTGGAGTTCATGACGCTAAAATGCTATTAATTTGGAGATTTTGAAAGCTTGATGGAAAATATAATTGAAGCCTAAATCAAGTTAAAGAAATGAAGTTTAGAAATTTCAAAAGAGCGAACAAGTTACCCTTTTTGTGCTCAAGCATAGTGTTTGAGTGCTTGATCATTTAAGTTACTAGAGAGAAAAGGATTGTGTTTGTGTGCTCGAGCTCAAATGTGACGTGCTCAAGCACAATCCAACTTATAATTCACATTTAATACTAGGTATGAACCAAAATTAAATGCCGTATTAAATAACTAATTTTAAAATCATGCAAATAAAAGAAAAGTCCATTGAAACTAACTGCACCTATATAAAAAAAAAAAAATTTACTATTTCGGCTGAAGGATAGCTTTGTTAAATACTAGGTACGTTTAGGGTACGGAAAAAATTAAGAAGACAATTGGTGCATACTTCGTATACCCAGTAACAGAAGTACCAAGCAAAGTACGAGTACGGTATTTTATTGAAGTATCCATGCTTCATAGATTGGCAATGTACAGAACCCGTCAGCTATTTGTACCTAGGAGGTGACAGACATGACACTCTTGCTTGCAGCCCCATAACTACCCACTTTTGCTTCAAGCGAACCACAGTAGTTCTCTTCAATTTCAAAATCATCATCACCAATCTCAAATTCCAATTGCCTTTGAATATATTCTATATTATCCAGATTTCTACCATTGGATTGGGTTGAAATATTGGGTGGGGACCCAACTTCTACCAAGCTAGAATGAAAATCTTCAAGAGAAATTTTGGATGAACCTCGATTGTTTCTTAATTTCTTCCCCATTTTCAATGAGAAAAAAATTGAAAGCAATTGGGGAAAGGGAGCATTCACTGGAACTAAGAACCCTAGCGATATATATATATTCATATATTAATACAAATAGCTGAGATGAGCATTGTGCTGTCACCAGCAATAACCTCTTACTCATCGCCGACCTACCCATAGATCGAATCCCCAATCTTTGGTAGGCTTCGAAGCTGTAGAGGTAGAAGTTGGAAGATCGATTCGGTGCTTGATCAACCCAACTATCGCACGCTAGAAATCAAGGTACAACGTTCCTGACCATTACAGCTAAAGCTAGAAATCAAGAAAGCAATAAAGACAAATTTGTTTCAAAAACCCTAAGATTTGTCTCTCGAATTGATTTTGTATACAGATATAGTGGAAATATAGAAGCTACAAACCGAGAATCTGAACCAAACATGAAGAATTTGAATGCAAATGCACAATATATACATAAAATGTTGCATACAAAGCTAGAGAGAGAGAGAGCGAGAGAGACCTGGTGAAGGAAGCATGATCAACGAGCAATTGAGCTTTGATTCCCAATCAGAAGTGGTTGACTTTGTATCAGTAACGAATTGTATGTGTACTTATAACCCTAGCTCTCTACGAATCTCTTTGTAAATTATTAGAAAGGTCCGGTTCACATTAGACCGGTAATGTCACTGCCTCCGGTTCGAAACAACCTATATTGGATAAATTACAGTCATGTCTTGTCTATCTTTGAATTTACATTGTCACCCCTTTTATTTTTTAAAATACCACTTATGTACCTTTGAAATTACAGTATCATCCATTTTATTGTTGATAATTCCACTGAGCTGCTTTGCTGGATAACGCCGTTTAAAGGCAAATTTTCGTATTTAACTTGGTCAAATTTTGTAAATTAGTTCAATTAAATTTTAGGATAAATTATAAATATACCCCTAAAATTTGGTTAAAATACGAATTACCCTTGGGATTTTAAAAATTACATCACACATCTTCAAGTTTCTAATTACATCAAAATTGCTCATTTTATTAATAAATTATCAAATTAATTAACAATTTTAAAGTTGGTTTGAGAATAGATTATTTTAGTAACTTTTTTGCTAAAACAAGATATGAAAAAACTAGCTTGCTTGGGATTTTTTTTGACTTTTTACCCCAAAAAAATGCAAAAAATTAGAAAGGCAATGAAATTTTTGACTTTTTTATATAGTTCTTTGGTTTTTTAGCTTTTCTAATGACTTTTTAATTTTTTTGCTATTATAGAGTGTTCCCAAACCAAGCCTTAATGACATCAAAAATATATTTCAATTAACAATACGGACAATTTTATTATTGTATAGGAGAACAATTAAAAATTTTATTTTTTCTGCTACTTCTGTTAAATGAAAATTTTTACAAAAGGTATTTGTAATTTTCAAAATCACATGGAGCAATTTGTATTTTAAATAAATCTCGGGAGGTGTATTTATAATTTTTCCTAAATTTTATTAAAGGTTATTTATACAATGACTCTCTAAAACTGTTAAGAAATATCATTTTGACCTCCTAAACTATAAAAACCTACAAATGGAACCCCTAAATTATTGAGTAATATCACTTTATCCCCAAACTATAAAAGCGTACAAATCGATCCCATAAACTACAAAAACGTACAAATTGCACCCCTTAACGGAAGGGATAAAAATAAAATATGTTAATAATTTATACAAAAATAAATAAATAAATTATGGTTTTAATAGGATCAATTCAAAATAGTCATATTTTTGTCAAGGTGTAAGTAACAGATGTGTCTCATGTCACAACTTTCACTTACACCATATACAGACCCACTTCACTTCTATGAAAATTGCAATTATTTTGGAATCTAGATCCTCTAGAGTAATTTTTTGTAGACTAGTCTTAGAGCAATTTTTTGTATAGTGGGAATTTTTTTTTTTTTAAATGATTGTCAATACTGTTTTTTTAGCACAATAGTACTAAGTTGAACAAACAATAGCATTGACAATCACTTTAAAAAAATCTCAATCATTCAAAAAATCACTCTAAAATAATTGTAAGAAAAATCACTCTGAAAGATTTGGTATTTCTACTAATTTGCAATTTAAAAAATAAATAAATAAATAAATTTGTGGGTGAATTATGGAGGGGAAATTATTAATCAGAGTAAATACAGCAAAAAAAATTACACATCAATGGAAAACTTTATGAACATTAATAATTAAAATTCTAAAATTTTTCACGTATTTATAAATAATTTTTTAAATCCCCAGTGTACCGTAATTCTCTCAATTATGTATAGTGGTGTTCATTTTCATGAATAGTTCCCCCAAAGATCTTCAATTCTTCATAAACTTGATTACATGGGTTGATTATGGGTTGTGGTTGTGATGGTGGAGGGTGGTGGTGGGTGTTTGAGGAGTGGGTAGTCATGTCCACCTCTTTATTCCTTTGACAATGCCTTGACGTTGTTTGCCTATATGCCCACTAAAATCAATTACTGAAGAATTGATTTAAAATAAGGTTTAGTTGTCTGTAACAACGCATCTTCTGCACAAGTCCAACTTATGGAGAAGATTTACATAAGTCTTTTTTGGCTGTATTGGTTTTGATATTGGTAGTGCAGTCTTGCATAGTTTGCCTGGCCTTTTCTTTCTCAAACTCAACTGATCAATTAGCTTTGCTTGCTTTCAAGACTGCTGTCCAGTATGACCCCAATAGTGCATTGGCTAATTGGACCACGAGAACCAACTTTTCCAACTGGGTTGGAGTCTCATGCAGCCTACACAGATAAAGAGTCATGGCTTTGAGGCTTCAAAACATGAGTCTTGGAGGCATCATTTCTCCTCATATTGGAAACCTCTCATTCCTCATGAAGCTTGATCTTCAAAACAACATTTTCCATGGATTTGTGATGCAAAACCTTACTCCTTTGCGTCGCTTAACATATCTCGCACTACAAGACAACTTGTTAGAAAGAGAAATCTCAACAAGCATATAGGGCTGTAAACGAGCCGAGCTTTGCTAAGCTTGAGCTTGCCTCGTTTGCTTATCAAGCGCATTTATTGAGCTCGAGCTTGGCTCGATAAGTAACTGGGCTCGAGCTCGACTCGGCTCGATAAGATTTTTTATAATACTATTTGTATTATTTAAATAAAAATATTATTGATATTATTTAATATAAATATAATGTATTTTTACTATTATTTGTATATTATTTAATATATAAATAGTATATTTATTATATAATTTAAATAAAGAGCTTATTCGAACTCAAACTCGAACTTTGCTTGTTTACTAAACAAGCTTAATATTCAAGCTCGAGTTTGGCTCATTTAAAAGAGCCGAGCTATTAACGAGCCAAGTCGAGCTTGTTCATAAACAGTTCGATTCATTTGCAGCCTTACATACAACAATGTCAAAAGCTTCAAGTCATGTCTCTCACAGCCAACAGACTTGCTGGTTGAATATCGGTTGAGCTGATCACCTTACCTTTGCTTCGTATTCTTTTCCCAGGAGGTAACAATCTTGCAGGTAACTTGCCACCTCCTTTTGGTAATTTGTCAAACTTAGAACTGTTTGCTTTAGATCGAAACCATGTTTATGGAAAAATTCCTAATTAGTTGGGACATCTTATGAAGTTGAAACAAATTAATTTATTTGGAAACTATTTCACTGGCCGATCCCACCAACAAATTCAACATCTCCACTCTACCACAATAGATTTTCTTATCAAATTGACATAGCGGAATGCACAGAGAACTAGATATTGTTCTAGTAGACGAAAAGGGTTCTCGAATCCACAAAAAAAAAATAAAACTTTGAATTCAAAAGGAAGGGAAAATATATTAATTATATTGAATAAAAGTTATCTTTGTCATAAGGCTTATATAGCTATTCCCCTTTATAATATTAATGTAAACCTTCAAGACCAAGTATTCTTGGACACCAAGAAAACTCAATTAGGAAATAATAAACTAATCTAATTCTTGAAAAACAAGAAACCTAGGAAATTAGGAAAATAAAATAAATCTAAATTAAAAAAACCTAATTCTAAAATATTTATATTAGTACAAGAATCCTAATCAAATAATATATCAAAAACATTAAAACTAAAAATATAAAAATCCTTAAAATCTTACCCTACATCACAAACAATGGCTTATTAGGGAATCTTCCTTCGAATACTGGGCTTTCGCATCCTAATCTTAAAAAATTCGGGGTAGAATTTAATAAACTTAGTGGAAAAATCCCATTGTATTTGTCCAATTGCTCATAACTCAATAAACTAGTCCTGCCTTCTAACCAATTTATAGGGCCGATACCCATAATTTTTGGCCATTTGAGTATCTTTGAAAAGCTTTTTTTGCAACACAATCAACTAACAATAGAACACGAAGTTCTAAAATTAGTTTTTTTGATAGATATGACAGATTGCAACTCTTTGATGTACTTGATTATATTTGATAACCCATTGGGGGGAATCATATCCGAATCCATCTGGAACCTTTTAAGCAACGTACAATATTTTTATTGCAGTTGCAGATGCATGCCAGATAAAGGGTGAAATCCCCAAAGAGATTGGTTCCTTAAAAGTGAATCTTCTTGCACTTAGTGACAACAATATTCATGGAACTATTTGGTCAACAATTGGGGAAATGAAAGGCTTGCAAAGGTTGTATCAAGATGGTAATGAGCTTGAAGATCTCATTCCTGATGAGATATGTCTTTTAAGCAACTTGGGAGAAATTTATCTCCAAAATAACAAGGTCTCTAGTTCAATCCCTCGCGGCACTGGAAATCTTAGTCATTTGCAGACACTGTTCCCAAGTTCTAATAAACTGAACTCATCTATACCATTGAGTCTATGGAGCCTTGAAAATCTCTTGAATTTAGATTTGTCATCCAATCTGCAAGGCAGGAGCCTCGATCCAAACATTAAGGCATTAAAAGTTTTGGAAAGCATAGATTTATCTTCAAACAATATTTCAGGTGAGATTCCTAGTGCTATAGTAGCTTTTCAAAGCCTTAATTCTCTTAATTTGTCAAGAAATTCATTACCAGAATCCTTTGGAAACTTGATAACATTGGATTTCTTGGATCTATCCCACAATAATATATCAGTTGCTATACCCAAGGCTCTTGAGGCACTCTCACATCTCAAATACTTGAATTTGTCTTTCAATAGATTATCAAGTGAAATTCTAAGACAAGGGCCCTTTAAGAACCTCACAGCAGACAGTTTTATGGAGAATGTAGCTCTGTGGCCCACCAACTTTACATGTTCCTCCTTGCACAAGACATAGAATGCAAAAATCGAGAGCAAAATTGCTTATTGAAATCATTGTGCCTACCATTTCATTGGCGTTAATCTCTGTTGCTCCCTTCTTCATCTGGAATATGTATCAAGGAAGGACTCCAACAAATTTGAATTCACTTGGATTATTTATTGTAGTTGAGCATCAAATGATTTCATATCAGGAGCTTTCTCGGGCTACAAACAACTTTTGTTGAGCCAACTTGCTTGGTTTAGGAAGCTATAGTTTCGGTATACAAAGGAGTACTTCTGATGGAGAAATAATAGTGATAAAAGTTCTAAATTTGCAAGTTGAGTTTCAAAAGTTTTGATGTAGAATGTAGTGTTTTGCG